AATTACATTATACCTGGGCACATGGCTTATAAGGTTTCACAAATACTGCAAAGAAATAAATATATTTTGGAAATGTCATTTTCTGTTAATATTCTTGTTGGAAGACTTAGCTGACAGTCCTATAAATGCTTAAACAAGATTAACATGAAGTTGCCACAACATATTAACTTTCTTCTTTTGTCCAGGTTAGCTCTGTTGCTCTGTGCCCTGGCTTTTCAGCAGACTTCAAGACAGCCCAGCTAATCTACTAAGGGCTCTGTTTTAGGTGTGTCCTTTATTTCTTTGGCATGCAAAGCTGGCATACATTCCTACCTCTATACCTAAAAACAGCCACCTTCACATACAGGGGGCACAAAACACCTTTATGTGCTGGGGTTGAGAATCAGAAATCTACAAAAAACTCAATTCATTTTTTTTTTTAAATACTTTATGTGGTAAAAATACAGCAAAAATAGTTTTTTTTGTTCAAAGACCCAAAATATATACTGCTATGGTTACGGTTGTTCTAAGGATGATTTAAGTAGTCTCTGGCTCCTCAACTGCGCAGTATAGTGTAGGCTGACTTCCAACCTCGGCTTCCTCAGCTTCAGTCATTTATCAAAGCTAAAATCATACTGTGGAAAGAAGAAACATGTTACTAATGTTTCCAGAGAACTTCCCTGGGGTCTGGTCTATACAGACCTACATCCTGAAGTTCATCAAGGAATACACAACACAGTAGAAGACAATCACTTATACCTAATGGAAAGAATTCAGATGACAGTCTCTTTGATGTGCTAGTGCTTTCATTAAAACAAACAAATGGGGTGGGAATGGGAGAGTAAAACCTAAAACCAATTTGGGGCTATCCCTAAAAAATAAATACAAGTTATGTCTAGAAAACTTTCACTCTGTGCATATGCTTAATATTCTTGTTGAAAGACTTAGCTGACAGTCCTATAAATGCTTTTCATGGAATTGCCCCTTCCATTACTATTAATCCAATAAATTCCTATTCAGGCTTTGTGACAGGTCCCTAAAGCATTTCCTTTGGGATGCAGGCCTTAGTGCAGCGCAGTCACAAGTTCTCCTTCCACAGCCCATCATGTTCTTACATGGCTTACAAGCTGGTTTCTATCAATGGCCTCTGAGCTGTGAGAGGACAGCAAGACCCAGGCACCTGCACTTTCATTCCCGTGTACCGCCCCAGATTGCAATTGCAGATCTGAACATTTATTCTAGGGATCTGTGCTGCTCCTTTGAGTCACTCATGGTGCCTTCAGGGCAGGAAATACACAGGAAAACCACCCCAGTTAACACAGAGTGAAAAACAATCTTTTCTAACTATATGCAGGGATCAACCTTGCTCTACTAGATCAAAATGACTACAATGCACAAAAATAAGCTAAATATTACTAATAGTATAAATAGTTGTACAAATTTAAGTCTATTACATGTACTTAGTGCACAGTACAGATTAATAGTTGTAGCTAAGATTTTGGAAGGATTTTTGAGTATAAATGAGATGATAAACCTAACTGCTTTATATGCAGTATTTCACTTAGTTCATACTGCAATCTAATTAGATATTAATAATATCCCATTTTCCGATGAGAAACAAAGGCACAAAGGGGCCAAGAAACTTGCCCCAAGTTAAAAGTAGGCATTAGGGAGCAGCATGAAAAGCCAAAGGCACAGGCTCCACCATTCTCTAAAGAATAGGAACATATTTTTCCCAAAACTTTTAATTCCATTTACCAATCCCTAAATGCCCTGTGGTATCTGTGTAAAGTACCATACCAGGTGTGACAGCAGCATAAAATCCCTGCAATAAAAGCTGATCATTTGGTAATAAAATCATTTTTAAACAGCAGCATCCATACTGACTGCTTCAGTTATAAATGACATTCAGGTTAAGGTAACAATCGTGAGGCTGAAAATGACAAGCTACAAGGGAGAAGGAAAAGGAAGGGGAGAAAAGGAGGCGACCCAGAAAGGAGACAGCAGCCCCGGGCACCGACAGGTTGCCTCTCTTACTTAGTTCTAAAGAATTCTACCTTGAACTTGCCCGTAAATTGTCATTGCTGCTTTTTGTTTCGTTTTGTTTTCTTTTGGTTTTGGACAGGACCTTGCTAGAACTTAGGGTAGCCTGGAACTTACTGCATACTCCAGGCTGATGTTGAATTTGTGATTCTCCTACCTCAGCCTCTCAAGTACAGAGATTACAGATATGCACCACCATGCCTGGCTAAAAGAGGGATTTGTAAAAACTATCACCTTGCAGCTGGAGAATGGGTCAGCCATTAAAAGCATGTACTACTCTTGCAGAAGACCCGTTTGATTCCTAGCACCCATGGTGGGTGGCTCACAATGGCCTGTAACTCCAGCTCCAGGGTCTCTAATGCCCTCTTATGGCTTCTGAGGGTACCTGCACTCACCTGCCTGTATCTCACCACAGACACAGAATTAAAGCATATATACATATAAATAAAACTAAATCTTTAAAAATAAATAAAAAACACTATTTTTCCAATAGTGGTAGTCCAGATCTGTAATTCCACCACTATGGAAGTTAAAACAAGAGGATTACTGTGAGCTTGAGGCTAGCTAAGGCTATAGAGCATGCTGCCACCCACCTTACCCCCAGCCAAAAAAAAACCACCAATTTTCTCTGTACAGTTTCTAATCATTAAGAATACTTTTTCTCTAGGTTTCTGAGGCAGGACAATGAAATCTCTCATCTCAATTCTAAGGCAGGAAAAGAAGAGCAAAGACAGTTTTTATCATGTCAATACCCTCAACAACTAAGGAATAACTAAGGTATCAAAGAAACTCTATTGTAGGTTAGACAGAATGTTGATTTAATTATATACATATATTACATAGCCACAGAAATTCACATAATCCCCTAAATGTTTACAATCCTATAGCATACTAATACCTCACAGATCAAAAGCAAACATGACATCTGTTCTGATGTCAGGAGGACTTTAAACTTACCTGTAAAGATACATGAAGAAGCAGAGCAGGTAGAAACCAAGCTTGATCATGGCTTCCTTCATGTGTGACTTCAACTGCCCTCGATTGTGTATTTCTGTTGGATCAAACACTCCCATGTTGCCACTTGGCACCATAATGAACCTGGATAAAGGGTACACACATTAGAAGGAAATCAAATCAGCATGAGTACTGAATAACAGTGACCCAGCTGAAATGTGCACAGCAGCCTTAAATTCAGATGAAATACAGACAGTAACATGATGATGTCTTGGGCTATTACTTTGGTTTTCCTTTGGAAGTTACTATTGATTTTCATTTAATTTTCTGCCCATAGAAGCAAACACAGTAGTGATATCTTAGATATGATATTTTATTCACTGAGAACTTTTTACCCATCTCTGGCACTCCTTAGCTCCTTCCCATTAGAAAAAAGGTTGAAGGAGATTCTAAAACCAAATGAATTTTATTAAGGTCTCAGAAGCTTCTTAGGATTTTTTTGTACGTGTGGTGTGCATATGTGTATGCGTGTCTACATATGTGGGACACAGGTGTGTGTGTGTATGTAGGCCAGAAGTTGACATCAGGCGACTTCCACATTATACAGTGAGGCAGGTCTTTCACTGAGCCCAGAGCTAGTCAATTCAGCTAGTGAGCTGGCCAGCTTGCTCCAGAGATCCCGTGTCTACCTCCCAAGTGTTGGGATTACAAAAGGCAGGCTGCCATGACCACCTGGCATTTCTATGGGTGCTGACATCTAAATGCCAGTTCTCATACATGCATACCAAATGCTTTAACCAACAAGCCATCTCACTAGCCCCTTTTCTTGTATTTATTTGTTTACTTTTTTTTTTTTGTCTTTTTGAGACAGGGTCTCCCTGTAGCCACAGCTGGCCTGGATTCACTATGGAGACCAGGCTGGCCTCAAACTCACAGAGATCCGCCTCCCAAGTGCTGGGATTAAAGGCATGAGGCATCACGCCTGGCTCTTTGTTTACTTTTTTGTCTTTTAGAGACAAGGTCAGCCTGTAGCCCCAGCTGGCCTAGAACTCCTATGTAAACCAGGCTGGCTTTGATCTCACAGAGATCTGCCTGCTTCTGCCTCCTGAGTACTGGGATTAAAGGCATGTACCACTGTGCCTGGCTCTCAGAAACTTTTTTTTTTTTTTAAAAAATACTTTTACTGTTTTTATTTTGTGTGTATGAGTGTCATGCAATGCCCGAGGTGGTCAGAAGAGAGTGTTAGATTCCCCAGGAACTGGAGTAAGAGACAGTTGTTAGCCATCATATGAGTGCTGGGAATCAAACCTGAGTCCTCTGCAAGAGCAGCCAGTGCTCTTAACTGCTGAGCCATCTCTCCAGCCCCTCAGAAACTTCTTTATAGAAACTAGATTACTATCAGAGAATCAATGGTGATATGCCTGAGCTTCAACACCCAGACTGTGCACAATGTGTAGCATACTTATCCTGACCCAGCACTGCAAAGACCTCCTTCCTCCTGCTCGCATGTCCAGTCTTCTTGGCGCAAAACCGTGATCTCCTCACTCTTGCCACATACTTAGTTTCTCAACTGTCACTTCTGTGAACTGCAAAGGCCTCTCTGAGCTTCACAAGTCTTAAATTCTCCCCTAAATCCTACTAGTGTATCCATACCTAAATAGAGGATATTTTTAATTGAATATCCAGATAACATCTCCAGTCTCAAAAAGACAATTCAGACTTCTATGTTAGCTAAGAGCAATGTTATCATTTCCTTGGTGATGCTTAAGATGTTCTTCTTACCCAGCTCTCGCCTCTCTGGTCTTTCATACCAGCCCACTGAACTGCTTCTTCAGTCTTCCTACTGTTTATACAGCAGTTCTTCATTCCATTAATAGACACCTGTTCCAACACTATATTCTCTTCCTCATTCTCTCAACTGATTTCTTAATCTCTTGGCCCTCCTATATCAAACCAAGCTGCATATTGCTTTGAGAACCCCCCCTCCAAAGTATAATTCACATCATTTTAGCAGCTTAAAAGCATATAAAGTGCCAGGAGTGGTGGTGCACACCTTTAATCTCAGCACTTGTGAGGAAGAGGCAGGTAGACAGATCTCTCGAGTTCAAGGCCAGCCTAGTCTACATAGTGGGACCTCGTGTCAAAACAACAAACCTATAATGTGGGCCAGTGATGTGCCTCAGTGGTATAGTGTTTGCCCAACGTGAAAAAACCCTGCATTCAATCCCCATTACCACAAAAATAAATAACACAAAAAAGACATATGCCTGACTAATAAACATACTAAAAGGCACTCAATACCATTGGTAACTAGGGAATAGAAATTGAAACCACAATGAAATACCATTTTATATTTGAAAGTGTGATAAAAATGAAGATCTGTAATATTGTTTTGATAAAGATGTGCCAAAACTGGAAACTTCCTACATAGTAAGAATGAAAAATAGTACAGTCATTTTTGGAAACACTCAGGCAGTCCTTTAAAAGGTTAAATACAGAGTTACTATGACTCAATAGTAGCTCTACTCCTGACTGCCTAAGTGAAAACACACATGTCTACAAACACACAAAATATTCATATAAGAATTACTCCTAAGAGCCAAAAGGTAAAACAAACTATCAACCACAAATGGATAAACAGAATGTAGTATATCCAAATATTGGAGCTTTAGACAGCAAAACAAGCAATTAAGTACTGATGTATGCGCTACAACATAAACTTTGCTATGGTAAGTAACAGGCCAGCTGTAAAAAGACTGTGCACTGATTCTTTTTGTATGTCTTTCCAGAATCTATAAACTTACAGAGATAGAAGGTAGACTGGGCTGTGGAAGTAGCTCAGTTGGTAGAGTACTTGCCTAGTATACACAAAGCCCTGAGTTTGATCCCCAGCACCGCATAAATTGAGCATGCCTATAATCTGAGCACTTGGGAAGTGGAGGCAGAAGTTCAAGGACTCCTCAGCTACACAGCAAGTTTAAAGCTAACTGGGATATATGATATCCTATCTCAAAAGTAGATTGAAGGCTGGCAATACAGCAGTATAGTTCAGTGGTAGACTTCTTTAATTTCCATCACAAAGAAAGGAAGAGAATAAAGGTAAGGAGGGAGAGAGGGAGAGAAAAAGACAAAAAGAAAAGGAAAAGAGAAAGAAAAGAAAGATTAGTGGCTTCCCAGCTGTCCGGAGCTAAGGAACAGATAGGGGATATGACCAGCTAAAAGGTATGCTGCTTTCTTTGGAGGGTAGGTAATGAAAAGTCCTAAAGTAGATTGTGGTGAGGGTTCCCCAAATCTACAGATACACTCACAATGCATTGACTGCATACTTTAAGTGGGTGGATTTTATGCTGCCAGAATCACATTTCTACATAAACTCCTCAGACCAGCATTCAAGCTTCTGTGAGCTACCCCAGCCCATCAGCTTTTCCTGTTCTATTACTAGCCCTTATCTACGTGACTTCAGCCTAACTGGTAATGAAATATGGCCTGTGTGCTCATCCAGCCTTCCCTACTATCCTCTTAACTTCAGACTCTAAAGACTTCTCTCCCTATTCCAGTCAAACTTCATCAATCCTTAGGGCTTTGCTTGGATACCACTTCCTCCTTAAAACGGTCCCAGTAATTCAACTCTCCTCTCAGCCCATGAATCCTTAGTATACTCATTACTTATCTTACTCTGCCTTAAAGCACACCTTATTTAATAAAGCACAGTTATTCACTGCTTTGCTCTTTGTCCTGCAGAGTTTGTTTCGTGTATGTCGATAGACCTAACAGCATAAGAGTACAGTGGTCTGAAAAGAGCAAATGATTTACATATTGATTTTTTTCTTACCTTTTAAAAATAGGAGGTAAATTTATGACTAGCAGACAGACAAACCTGTTACTACAATTATCAGAATAATCAATACATGTAATCTTTTAAAAAGGAAGTTTGGGATTTAATAGATTCACAGAGACTTCTACAGTTGTACTTCGTGTGTACTACACAAAAAGACGTGCCTAAACTGGTTCTAGCACATTTTCATTTCTGGTAGAAATGACTGAGGGTGGGAGTCTGGATATCATCAAAACTCACAGCCTCAGTGATTTGATCCTCTCACTGAGCCTAAATCTGTGTTTCACTCAAAGGGATCACGAAGACTCCACTGTGCTAGGGACAGCATGAAGCTAGGTATAGCAGAGCACACCTAGAATGCCAACACTTGGGAAGCTGAAGCAGGAGGATTGCAAGTTCTAAGCCAGGCTGGGATACACAGCAATATCTTCTCTCAAAAACAAAACAAAACAAAATCTTCCTAGGACTGGCCCTCACCAGAAGTGCAAGGTATATGTGTTCCCAGGATTGAGCTCACATTAGAATGTTAGCCTATGAATTGATCATGAGCTAGTAATAAGAAAGTTGAAAAAAAAACTTGCCCTAGGATATATATGCTAGACTAGAAAAGAGGTACAGAGATTGACCAACTTTTCCCTACCTACTCAGAGTCTAGTCTCATGGTCTTTTTAAGATCATTACTCATCTAGGTATGGTGGCGCAAGCCTTTGGCCCTAGCACTCAGGAAGCTGAGGCAGGTAGATCTCTGTGAGTTCAAGTCACTCTGGTCTGCATGATAAAACCCTGTCTAAAGCAATAAATTAATTTTAGAAGCCAGATATGGTGGTATACACCCATGATGGCAGCACTTGGAAGGCTGAGGCAGGAAGACTTTGAGTTCAAGGCCAGCATGGTCTACACAGGAGCCCTTCTCTCCAAAGAAATAAAGTAAAATACTGAGATAGGAAGATCAGCCTAAGCAGCAAAGTGAGTTTGAGGCCAACCTATGATAGGAGAAACCACCTCAAAAAGAAAAAAAGACTTCCTACAATTCTTACTGGAACACATACTATAACTGCTTGACTGTAAAATTATAGCTAATGAATGTTTCTACTGGGCTATCTTTGAACAAACTTCCTAGGATAAGGTTAGGCTTGACAGACAATGTGATAAAAACCAGATTAGTAAAGGACACCTTTGGGTATGTCTGGGAGAATTTCCAGAGGCAAGTGGATCATGAGAACTGTGACCTAATCAATGGATTAATCCTGTGATGTACTCGTGATATGAAGGTGCCATTGGGAAATGGTGAAAGGTAGCAAGCAGGTGGACCTGGATGGTGGGAGCAGATCACTGGGTACATGTTCTGGGGGCTGTATCTTGGCCTGGACCCTTTTTATATCCCCTTTTCTCTGCTTCTGGCTGCTAAGGAGTGAAGAGCCTCTTCCAGCCCAAAGGCGTGGGGCAGAACAACCATGAACTGAAGGCTCTGAAATGCTAAGCTAAAAACAATCCTTTCTTCCTTTAAGTTGCTTCTATCATGCAATTTGTTCACAGCAATGAGAAAAGTAACTAATATACTTCTCAAATTAAAAACAAATTATTTTTAGAAGATCTGTTGTGTCCCCCCATCCCCCCATGTGTGTGTGTCTGTGTGTCTGTGACTCCGTGAGTCTATGCAGGATATAGGGCTTGTTATGTGGATGTTAGGATCCAGATTCTCATATTCAAGACTGTGCACCAACTGATCCTAACCATTGAGCAATCTCTCTAACCCCCTACTTTCTAAATTTTTTAAATAAAAATTTTAATGTTACTTAATTAGTATTGCAAATATCCCCCAAAAAACAACAAAAATAAAAAGAAACACCCTTCCCAAGACAAGTTACCTAATTTGCAGTCACTAAAATGTAATTTTATTTTTTATTTTCTTTTTTTCTTTTTTTGAGACAGGCTTTCCATGCAGCCCCAGCTGGCCTGGAACTCCCTATGTAGACCAGCCTGGCCTTGATCTCACAGAGATTCCCCTACCTCTGCTTCCCAAGTGATGGGACTAAAAGCCACACCATCACACCAACACGTCACACTCTTTAGAGTGCTTCTAGTATTAGAGACACAGATAAAGAAAGCCTTATTCTCAAAGATAAAGAAAGCCTTATTCTCAAATCTTTGCCCTTAGATGAAAATGACATTCAAGGCCATGAAAAGACATTTTGTAAATCTTCAGGCACCACAACTAAACATGCATCTTACAAACTTATGCATGTGAATTTTGTACTTTTTCTACTATCTGCCCAATATACCAAAGTGAACAATACTTTATTCTAATTTAATAAAGTATTTTGCTGTTGCTTATTTTAATCACTGGAACATTTTTATAGAGTGAGCAGGCTTTTGTTTTTCTTTTTTTAAACTAGGGTTTCATATAGCCCAAGATAGCCTCAAGCTGGTCTTGAACTCCTGATCCTCCTGCCTCTACTTCTCAAATGCTGAGATTATGGCCAAGTGCTGGGACTACAGGCACGTACCACCACTCCCAAATGTTAATTTTTTTTAAACTACTCTGTCATAAAACAGTAAACAGATTATACTCACCGATATATATTCCAAGTGGCAACAGGTAAGTTGAGAAGGAAGATGAACCAGTGCAATGAAACAAGCATTAACACAGTGACAATGGTATGGCCGACCAACTCTGGAATCACCCACTACAAGGAAGAACAAAGCATTTCATTTTTATTTCTATACTCAGAAGCTCCAGACTGACAACACCAGAGCACAGCTTTAAAAAAAAAGCACCTAAATTTCAATTGTATTTCACTCTAGGCAAAGGCTTAGGTTAGGTTCATTCGCTAAGCAGGTCTTAATAACTAGGAAAAAAGCAGAGTCCCACTTACTTTCTGTTCCAGTATATAAGCTAAAGCCTCCTACTCTGAATTAGGGTCATTCATACCCACATATATGCCTCTTTAGTCAGACTGTCACTCTTAAAATATTTCCCCATCTCCAGAATCCTAAAGAAGCCATTTCCATTCAGGAAGATAAAATAAATGGCCAAGTGTGGTGGATCCCAACAGGAAGCCAAGAGGATCACTGCAAGTCAGTCAGGTTACAGCCAGACTCTTCCTCTAAACAACAAAGTAAGACTAAATTTAGGGGCTGGAGAGATGGCTCAGCAGTTAAGAGCACTGACTGTTCTTGCAGAAGACCCGGATTTGCATCCCAGCACCCACACGGCAGCTAAATGTCCCTAACTCCAGTTCCAAGGGATCCGACAGCCTCTTCTGTCCTCCACGGGCATTGCATGACACAGCTGCACTTACCTACATGCAGGCAATACACATACACATAAAAATAATAAATATTTTTGAATATATATATATAAATTTTAAAAGTAGCCAGGTGTGGTGGCGCACCCCTTTAATTCCAGCACGCTTAATCCCAGTACTCAGGAGGCAGAGGCAGGCAGATCTCTGTGGGATTCAGGCCAACTTGGTCTACAGAGCAAGTTACAGGTCTGCTGGGGCCACGGGGAGACTGTCTCCAAAAGACAAAAATAAATAAATAAATGAATAAATAAATAAATAAATAAATAAATAAAAATGTGGAGTCTTGAAAGATGCATCAGGAGTTAAGAGCATTGCTGCTCTTCCAGAAGACCCGGGTTTGATTCCTAGCACCCTTGTGGAATGGCTCACAACCATCTGTAACTCCAGTTCCAGGGAATTTGATATCCTCTTCTGGCCTCCTTGGGTACCAGGCCCACACAAAATACTCATACATGCAAACAAAAAGTCATTTATACACATAAAATAAAACTAAATCTTAAAAATAGCTTTGCCCAGTATGGTGGCACATGGCTTTAATCCCAGCACTCAAGAGGCAGAGAAATGGGTGGATCTCTGTGAATTCAAGGCTAGCCTGTTCTACATAGCCACCTGGGGCTACTGGGAGACCCTGTCTCAAAAAACAGCAAAAACACAAAAACTTACAATTAGGGCTGGGGAGACAGTCAGCAAAATGCTTCTGCCCAAGCATGAGTACATGAGTATGAAGCCCTAGAACCCACATAGAAAGTTGGGCATGTTGGGGGGGGGCGTGGGTGGATCTCTGGGGCTTGCTGTCTAGCCAGCCTAAGGTCTTCATTGAGCTCCAGGTCCTAGTGAAAGACTTTGTCTCTCTCTTTCTCTCTTTCTCCTTTCCTCCCTCCTCTCTCTCTCTCTCTCTCTCTCACACACACACACACACTCACACTCACACTCACACTCACACATACAAGCTTATTATACCCAAAGTTGAAGAAACATGATAATGAAGCAGGAAGAGACCTGGCCCACCGATCTATGACATACATGCACCTTTGTGCTTTGCTCATTGTATGATTTTAGAGTGTTAGTGCATCCACAGCTATCGTGGCAGTGTTCTTAACTCATCAAGTCTTCCTCTTGTGCCAGTGTAGATCTTTTTTTGTTTTATATAGAAGGCAACTTTATCTTTAGACTTTATGTGTATAAGCGTACTGCCTGCATGTATGTAAGTGCACCCATGTCATGCAATGCCGGAGATGGTCAGAAGATTTCAGATCCCCTGGAACTGGAGTTGTCAGCCTCCATGTGGGTGCTGGGAATTGAACCCAGGTCCTCTGTGAGAGCAATCAATCAATGCTCTTAACTGCTGAGCCATCTCTCCAGTCCCAAAAGGCAACTTTCTTTAAACAGGGTCTCACTATGTAGCACTGGCCAGCCTGGAACTCACCATGCAGACCAGGCTGGCCTGGAACTCGGAGATCCACCTGCTTCTGCCTCTGGAATGCTGGGATTAAAGGCATGCACCACCATGCCCAAATAAAAGTTAGTTTTTAATGGAAAAGCTGACACTCTTCAGTTTCACAGAGCTACATAGTAGCACATCAAAGCAGTTTAAGTTCAGGATACTGTATCTTAAGATTCTCACATTTGGCACTTTTTGTCTGTTTTTGCAGTGCAAGGGATAGAACCCATGGCCAGGCGAGCACTCTCCTAAGCTATACTACCAGACCCTTGTATTTTAGACCACCAAAACTACCTTTTTTTGAGAGAGAGAGAGAGAGAAAGAGAGAGAGAGAGAGAGAGAGAGAGAGAGAGAGAGAGATTGATTGATTTTTTCTGGGCCTTCAATTTAATTTTTAATTAACTGGAACTTTCCAGTATATAATACACATTTAAAAAATATACCTAATCCAGTATAACACAACTGTGAGCTAAAAAGTCCAACCTGGGGGGGCTAGAGAGATGGCCCAAGGGTTAAGAACACTGGCTTTTATTGCAAAAGACCTAGGTTCAAATCCTAGCACCACATGCAGTTAACAACCATCTGTAACTCCAGTTCCAGGAGATCTGATGCCCTCTTCTTGTCCTCCGCAGGCACTGCACAACATGGGTGAACTTACACAGATGCAGGCAAAACACTCATACACATAAAATTAAAATAAATAGATATTTTTTTTTTAAGTTCAACCTGGGGTGGAATCAATGTTTTATCTTATTTATGAGCTACGCAACCTTGGGAACAGTTACCTACCCTTTCCAAGTTTTTGCATCTTTGTAAAATACATATGCCACACACAAAGCAAGCATGCAGTAAGATGCTAGCTGGTACAAAGGCACTGTTCTCCAAGCTTCAGGCTCCTACAGAAATAGCTTTAAAACTGGATTTAAGGTGGGCTATAGTTATCTTTGTTTATACATGCATCTAGCTGAAGCACGTTTTAGGAAGTGATACTTCAACTGTATTTGGTTTACTGACTTGCAACCAAGTCTTGTTTTGTCTCTTCCCTTAACATTATGCCCTGCCCCTAATTGTTCGAAGAAAAAAGGAAGACTGACACTGAGCTTATGACCCTCAGCAAGGAGTTTGGAAAATTCTTCTCTAAAGTAATTTTAATGTCTCAAGAGACAATACCTACAAAAAAACCCTAATGAAAGTTCAGAAAGACACCAATCACAAGAGTCTAGGTGGACACCAATCACCTTACAATGAAGTCTACTAGTCGGATGAGAGGTATAAAGCACCCATTGAGCTTTCAGCAAGCACTATAATGTTTTACTTCTAAATATAAGAAGCCAAGCATCAGAAATTTAAGGAAAGTCTCAAAAATGAAAGGAAGTAGGTCAGGAAGGCAAAGGGAAAGGAACTGGAGAAAGCATATAATGAAGGAAACAAGAAAACTTCAAAAACACTACACTCAGTGCTTCCAGAGAATTAAGAGTCAAATATAAGCAAAACCAAAATCTCTTAGAAATTAAAATTGTGGGAACTGGAAAGATGGTTCTGTGGTTAAGAGCGCTTGCTACTTTTACAGAAGATCACAGTTCCCAGCACCCAAACAGGGTGGCTCACAATCACCTGCAACTCCAGTTCCAGGGGATCAGGTGTCCTCTTCTGTCAAGTGCCTGAATGTACATGGTGAACATACAGAGAAGGCACACTCTCACATGCATGAGCATGCACAGGCACAAAATATTTTTAACAGAAACTACAGCACACATGCTATATGTACTAGAAAATTAAGAAGATAAAAAGAGAAAAAAAAAAAATCGGCCAGGCATGGTGGTGCATGCCTTTAATCCCAGCACTCAGGAGGCAGAGGCAGGTGGATCTCTGTGAGTTCAAGGCCAGCCTGGTCTACATAGTGAGTTCCAGGCCAGCTGGGGCTACAGGGAGACCCTGCTTCAAAAAAAAGAAAAAAAAAAAAAAAAAAAAAAAAAAAAAGAGAAAGAGAGAAAAAAATCCAAAGGAATAAAATATGAAAAAAGAACTGGTAGATCAATCCATCAGATCAACCAGCTAGTTAATGGTAAATGTAAGAAAAAAGAAAAGCAGGGAAGATATTATCAAAGAAAGAATATAAAGGAGGCAGGGTTTGACTCAATAGTAGAGACCATGCTTAGCATGCACAGTCCCTCATGCACAAGGAAAGACCAATACTCAATACCAAAGGAAAAAAAATTCCAGAAAATGCTTATTGAAAAGAATGTATCAGGTGTCAAAACTATGTATAAAAAAGGCCTAAACAGTAGGGTGTGGTGGTGCACGCCTGTAGTCCCAGCACTTGGGAGGCAGGCGGATTTCTGTGAGTTCAAGACCAGCCTGATCTACACAGTGAGTTCCAGGCCAGCTGGGACTACAGAGAGACCCTGTTTCAAAAAGACCAAAAAAAAAAAAAAGGGCCTAAACAGCCAGGCATGGTGGTGCATGCCTTTACTCCCAGCACTCAGGAGGCAGAGGCAGGAGGCTCTCTTGTGAGTTCAAAGCCAGCCTGGTCTACATAGTGAGTTCCAGACCAGCTGGGGCTACAGGGAGAACCTGTCTCAAAAAGACCAAAAAAAAAGGCCTCCTAAGCTACGTAAAGAGACACCACTGGAAAATTTCCAAATACTAAGGATAAAACTTCTAGCGAGAGAAAGAAAAGATCACATAAAAATAAAAAGAGCCA